ATTGCTAAATCCACAGGAGATACTGGACTCAATGGTGAACACAGAGTTTTGGTACTCAGAAACCGGTAGTAGAGCTGAGGGGACAAACAAGACAACAAGCGAGAGCAAGCGATGGTGGCTTCCATCACCACAAGTGCCCAAACCTGGACTCTCTAACTCAGCAAGGAAGAAGTTGCTAGACAAGGGCAAAGTTGTCTATCAAGTCTTCAAAGCTACAAAATCCATAAACGAAAACGTTCTTCTTGAAATGCCAGTACCATCCATTGTCAAGGAAGCAATACCCAAAGTAAGCTTTACTCTCTTCATCTATTATAAGTAAACAGCTATCTCTAAACTCTTGATTGTTGTAACAGTCTGGAAAGAGCAGCCTTGGTGATGAACTGTACAAAATGTTGGTTGCTGAATCTGCCACAGTAGATGAAGTCCTTGTATCTCTCAAGCTGGGGACCGAACATGCTGCACTGGAGACTGTTAACAAGTTAGAATCTGCTATATTTGCATGGAAAGAAAAGATTACAGAGCAAACCAGCAACAGTAAATCTCCGGTCAGGACACCATGGTCATTTGGAAAAGATCCATTGTCTGACACTGGTCGAAACGGATTACTCTTGAACCGAGCAGAAGGACTTAGAGATCAGATCAAATCCAAATACCCTAATCTTCCTCAATCGTTTCTTGACGCCACAAAGATTCAGTATGGCAAGGTAAGACATAAAACGAAACTAACTAACCAACTTCTGAAACAGCACATACTTTGCAATAAGATTGATCACCTTCTTCTCTGTTTTCCAGGACATTGGTCATGCGGTTCTTGAAGCATATTCACGAACACTTGCTAATTTGGCGTACAGGATACTTTCAAGAATGGGAGAAATATTGAAAGAAGATTCTCTAAGTAAACCTAACTCTCCTGCCCCACCGAGTTGTTTCCCAAGCTCTCGTGATCTTTACAGAACACCTGAGAGGCCTTTACTTTCGTCTCGTGTAAGGCATTCTCTAACAGATGACATGAACAAAGCTGATGGGACAGAGACAGACACTGGTTTAGATTTTTTGTTCGCAGATGCTAAGGTCAGTTCGGTGAATGCAACTCCAAGTAGGAGCAGTAGACTATGGTGTATGAGCAAAGTACCGCCTGATGCTTCTCCTTGATTTAGAGGGCTTACTTAAGTTCGATGCGTGCCACCTGAAGCTTCTCCTTTTTCTTCTTATTTAGAGGATCCCTTAAAACTATGGAGTCTCAGATATTGTAAATGTATTGATAACATGGGCTAAACTATGAATATTATCAATTTTGTTCATAACTGTGGGGGAAAAAGAAAGAAAATTATGAACTTTCAATTTTATTATCTTTCCACATTATGTCTTCTACAAGATTTAAAATTGATCTTCATAGAACAATCTGGAATCTTATATCATCTTTATGTTTTGGATTTTTAACCTTAAAATTTTTCAGCTAAGTTTGTTTTGGATTAAAAATCTTCAAACTATGTATTTAATGGAAAAATTCCAAACTAACTTTATTTAAAGGATTAAACCCTCTCGAAAACCCCAAACTAGCCTTTATTTAAAGGATTAAACCCTATGTCTACAGTGCAGGTCAAAATGACTACTAGTACATGATATCACTCAAATTATCTTAAGGAGTGAATTACTCTCATCAAAAGAGGTTCAATTGTAGTACTTAGAAATTGAATCCACAGAGACTCTAGGATTACACAACAGATTATTTAGTTTTCGAAATAAAGTTAGACAACAAGTCTCAAACAGTAACTTAAAATATGAGCAGTGATTACTCGATTGATTGATTGATTTGCTAAGAGGAAAGAAGGTAGTTAAACTTAGGTATTTTCTCAGGTATGACAAACATGCAAGTTATAAAGGGTTTTTATTATTCATAGTTCAGGATTCAAATTTTTTAAGGTTTTAAACCTAAAGTATTAACTTCCACTGGCCTCGGGTTAACAACTATCATTTGATGCCATGAGAAGGTATCGATCGATATTCAATCGAATAATCGATCGATGACTCTTTTCTATATTGATCGACAAGATGATTATCTCGTCGAGCGATATTGATTCCAGCGAGTTATAATAACAAGTTTGGGATGGTTCTCTAGTCTCCATCAAATTTACTTAGATTTCAGGTAATTGTCTAGTTCTCACTTGTCCATATTGATCCTAAAATCAATGATAAGGGTGATCAATCCTTATCACTAGCATTTATGATGACTAGATGAAGAACTATATTTTAAACACCCTAGTAATGGTTCATTCAATGCATGAGTCAACCTTAATGAGAAGCCTAAATCTAACAAGAGAGACTACTCAAACATATTCATAAGAGACAAAGTCATAATGGTTTGAATAATGCTTTAAAGATAGTAATAGCAAGAGAAACAGTAAAGAAATAAGTAAAGCAAAAGAGTTCAAGATCTTCTATGGATTTGTAGTTCAGATATCTCTCTCTAATCCTAAGCTCTTCTCAAAGTATAGCTAGATGTCTCTCTCCAAATTAGGTCTAAAAAGATCTCTATAGAGAAGTCTGTCTAAACTAGTACAAAACCCTTATAATATAGCCTAACAGGCGGCCATGGACTTAAAGTGTAACTATTAAGACTCTTGTGAAGCAATTAGGGCTTCTAATCTTTATTTAATCGCTTGGAAGACTTCTGTATCTATCGATGGTGAATGTTTTCAATCGATTGATAGGGGTAATGTTTCATCGGTCGATTATTCTCAACGTGCATCGGTCGATATCTTTAACATCGTTTTGCTCATATCTTGATAAAGTCTTCATTTTAGCTCCATAATGACTAGTTTACACCAATGAGTACCTGAACCTGTAAAAGCTCTAAAAAGACACTAGAAGTATCCTTTTGTTTCCAAAAACATATATAAATCATGGTTGAAAGTGGGTAAAATCCGTGACATATCAGTACCGGTAAATCTTTAGTTTAGAGATTTTTACACTAACTAAACATAATTGAGGTGTTTTATCACTAAAAGTTTTAAAAAGCCAAAAATGATAAAATAAAAATATGAGACCTTTATCTAAAAATTAGTAACTTAAATTTGCAACTTCAGCATTTTAAAAATTTATTAAAATATATGAGTATGATTTGTTTTTAAAATCAACACTTTATATGTAAAAATTGAAAATATAAAAAACTAATTATCTAAAAACAGTAACTATTATTTGAAAATTTAAGTTATTAATCATTATTATTCTATTTTAAACTTTTGCATATTTTTATTTTTGGATTTTTATATTTTTAATGGTAAATACATAATTTTTTGTTTTTTATATTTTCAGTTTCTAATGTAGAATGTTGATTTAAAAAAACAAATCATACTCATATATTTGCATAAAAATTTTAAAATGCTGAAGTTGAAAATTTAAGTTACTTTTTAAATAAAGGTATTACATTTTTATTTTTTTCATTTTTTGGCTTTTTTTTTTAATTTTTAGTGGCAAAGCACCTCAATTATGTTTAGTTAATGTAAAAATCACTAAACTAAAGATTTATCTGTATTAGTGGTCATTTTGCCTTACACTGTCGACAGATCGGTTAATCCATTAAATAAAGTTAGTTTAGGTGTTTATCCATTAAATACTTAGTTTGGTGGTTTTTACCCAAAACAAACGTAGTTGAGGGGTTTTAATGTTAAAAACCCTTATGTTTTATGTGAAGTGAATCTATCATGGTCATATTATTTATTTTCCTCTCCAAGTTTTTCGTGAAGTTGTTGTATATCAGTCTATTAAAACAATTGTAGACACATAGTTAAACTTATTGAGTTTTATGAAAAAGAAAATAATGAAAAAGAAATGAATAAACATATACATATAATACTTTGATCTTTTAGTTATGAAAAACTTTTCATACAACTGTTGAAATTGAGCTTTTTCATCCAAAAATATGTTTTAACTTTAGTCATGCTTGGTTTAATAAATTATTCATGTTTTTCTTTTTATCCAAGAAACCCAATGAGTTATTTTTTTTTAACTTTCTTTGCAAGTTTTAAATAATTCATTCTTTAATGTTCACAAAACTCTATTGATTTTACATTATCTATACAAATATAATGGTAGAGAGTTACTAAAGATATATATTAATTGTTAGAAACAATGACAAATATAAATTAAAACTAGATCATGTTCCGCGCATGCACGCGGGTTTTATTTTTCGGATGTATTCTATATAATATAGTTTTATACAGTTTCAAGTTTTTCCAAATCCCCCTATACATTAAAAGAGAAGTCACTTTAGTGATTTCTCAATAGGTGGCATTCATACGGAGCTTCTCAGATTAATTCTTTTAATCTGATTGGTTGATTTATTTTAATTTTCTTTTTTATTTTATTTTTGTTCGGCGTGCAAGTGTTATTTCGGAATCCCATTAGCTTTGTTTCCAAACACTCCAGACGAAATAGGATTTATATATGAGAATCGTATCTCTAAAATTTGGTTAGGTTATTTACTTTCTTTACATTATATTCGATAACTTGCGTGAGAAGTTGGAAATTAAATGCCAAATATGTCAATCTCATACCATTAGGAAAGCTTGACAATATATATACGATGTCCTAATGTCTGTAGACCGAACGCAAGTTTTAAAAACAGCAATGGCAATGGTTCAAGCTACCAAAAATTGAGATACTTTAGAAACAAATGGCGATTTCGTGTCAAACTTATTCATTCATCCATATTTCACAAAAAATGTCTATCGCGAGAAATTTGGCTTTTATAAACGATGTGAAGCCCTTTAGAAACAAATGGCGATTTTGTGTTAAACTTATTCATTCATAGAAACTGACCATGGTTGTGGAGAAGATCGCTCCTGATTATGATGCTGGTGGTGATGATGATGTACAGGTGGTCTTCCAGTCATGCCATAGATACACAACCTAAATATTTGAAAGACGTCATAAACTTTATCTTTGATACTTTTGAATATTATGAAAAAGAACTTAGGCCGGAAGGAAAATTTTACAGTATGGAAGCTAACACAAAAGAGGTAACCAATCAATCAAGGATATATATATATATATATTGTTTCCTAGCTGTAGAAATTTTATTACGTGGATTGATATTCAAAAACAAAAAGTAATGGGATTTAGTAGCAGTAACGGTTTTATTATACTTTCGATCTTTTAGGTCAAGGCATTTGTGAAACCCAACTTTGAACATGCAAAATGGGCACAAGCCGCTTACCTGCCTACCTTTGAGGAGTACATGAAGGTTGCTGAGGTGGAGATCACACTGTATGTAGTTTTGGCTGGTTATTTTATGTGTCTAGGAAAGATGGCTACCAAGGAAGCTTACGAGTGGCTTAAATCGAGACCAAGACTGGTCAAATATGTATATGTTAGAGATCGTCTTATGAATGATATAACCGGTCTAAAGGTAAGAAAATGGATAAATTTTCTCTTCATGCATTGTTCTACCTTACAATATTTCCAAAACTGTAATTAAGATGACATGAGTAGAGGATAGATCACAAATGCGGTAAACTGTTATATGAAGTAATATAGAGTTACCAAACAAGATGCTTTAAGAGAGCTTCATCAAATGGTTGCAGATACTGATAACATAATAAATGAGGAGCTCTTGACGACAACTGGTGTGTCACGTTTGGTTCTCAAGACAATAATGGGTCTTGCACAATCAATCAGCGTCTTCGAGAATGGATATGAAGGATTCACTTTTCCTGAAGGAAAAATCAAGGAGTACATGAATTATATGTTTGTCGATCAGATTAGTCTTTAGTGTGTGGCATTATGTTCTTGGTTTCCTTTGTAAGGCTACGTCCTACGTGTACGGTCCGGTCCATTATTTGGGTCGATCACTCTTTAATTTACCAAAAAAGCTCTTTATGTATGTTGTGTTATCATTTATGTATGGGTCTGGTGTAATTGTATAGTTTATTCGCACCATGGCTGGGAATCAAAGTTTGCCAAATTTCTCTTAGACACTCATGAGATAGTTAAAACAAAAAAGATTATTGACCCATATATATCATTTTTCTCACTTGCGGGTTAAATTTTTGAATCAAAAAGTGATTCAATCCGCAATAGAGCAAGTCGATCCGCAAATCCAACAATAATTTATATGATGGTACATATAAAATATTATTAATTATATAATTATACATATAAAAAAATAGTAATATATTTTTGAAAAAATACACCCGCACGGGTGCGCGGATCAAATTCTAGTATTATTTTATAATAAAAACTTTTCTCTTTTAATCCTAATCTATAACATTATTTGAGAAGTAAATTTGCTTAGTTGTCAACTTCTCCATGATTTTAGGTTATTTTGCTTCTTTTCATGTTTTAATAATTTATTATAAAATAAAAACGAATTTATGTTAATAATATTATATTTTTAGAAAATATGTTAATTATTTTGTATTAGATTGTTATCTTAAAAATATATTTTCTATTATAAAATTTAAGTGAATTTGCTGATTAATTTGTAACTTTCACGTTGAAAGTTAGAGCGGTTAATATCGTTTATATCCTTAATGAATAATTACAAATTTTAATATAATTA